GGAATGTAGGAAGGAGGCACCAGGAGACTCAGACCAAGTGTTAATCGTAACTAGACAAACACAGCTGTAGTTCTTTCTTGCATTATTTCACTGACAGCATTTGGTACATGTGTGAGAACATGTGTGAGAACATGTGTGTGAACACGTGTGCTCTGATATCCCTCTGGCACATGCACTGACGACGGTTGTGCTCGCCTTGAATGTTCTCATCAAGGACTCCTGTTGTTCTGATCTTCAAAGGCAGTGACACGGATGTTCTCTCTCTGTCTCTCTCTCTTTGACAGTGTGTATGGTTGTCCCTTGGCTAAAAAAAGAAAAACGCAGGATAAACAGCCCCAAGAGCCCGCCCCCAAGCGCAAGCCCTTCCCGGTGAAAGCGGACAGCTCCTCAGTGGATGACTGCTATGACAGTGATGGCACCGAGGACATGGACGAGAAGGAGGAAGACGAGGAGGACGACTACTCGGAGGACAACGACGAGCAGGGCGAGGAGGACGAGGAGGAGGAGGACGGGGACCGGGAGGACGAGGAGGAGGTTGAGGAGGAGGAGGAGGAGGACGAGGAGGATGGAGAAGACGTGGAGGACGAGGACGAGGATGAGGACGAGGACGAGGAGGAGGAGGAGAACGGTAAACGTTAGCGTTGTGCAGCGGTGCCACACTGTGTCAGCGCGTGCTTCCCTCGGTCTCGCAGCGTGGACTGCCTGCTGTCAGTGTCCATGATGCCTGAGTGGTAGCCACGCACATATGCGTGCTCGGCCAGTGCCGAGAAAATGAGCAGTGGGTGGGAATTTCACCTTCGTCTTAAAAATCCCCTTTGATTATCTGTTAGGCTTGAAGTTCAACCGATGATTCTTTCTGGCGAATTGTCACTCAGATGGGTTGTCACAGGATGTGCTGAGATATTTATGGGGTACACATTTGATGAGCCTAACAAAATTGACCAAGGAAGTGAAGTTAGCATAGCTGGTCTTTCCTTTTGCATTTCATTGAATGCTCCAACCAGGAGGTACTGGGATTTGCCAAAATAGTGCTGTGGGAATGGCTTTAGCCTGTGCACCTCTGTGGAGAAGTGGGGAGCCCCATGTAACATCAACCAGTGGAACAGGTTTGTCCATCAATTGCCACAGCTTTACCTTAGTAACTGTCACGTAATTGGGATAAAAAGAAATACTCTTGAGAAGAAATAGTCAATCCCTCATGTTCTCCATATTTGAGAGCTGTGTCTCTCATCTGAGCTGTGTGACCCTTTGAGATGGACAAGCAAAGAGGATTCTGTGCGGGGCACTGGAGGTGTTTTAGGCAACACACTGAAGGTGATTTTGCTTTTGTGTCCAGTGTCCTGTTGGTATCAGGCTCAAAAATATGACTTCCAACCCAATTCTCTCATAAAGGTCATTTCTTTTCTAGAAAGAGTGGAGTTTTCTACAGATCCTTGGAATATTCTTAACCGGCTTAGGGTCTGCCTCATGGAAATGCCAAAACATGTTGAAAAAGCGAAGAGAGAATTATTATTTTTTTCCTCTTTCTGGGGCTCAACAGCTCTTCAAGAATCTGAATCCAGAAGAGCTCATTTTTGAACACAAAAGACAGTTGTTTCAGCCAGTGACTAGAAGCCTTTGTAGATCAAGTGGGTGTGAGCTGTCTGTTCTAATCCCACGTACAGGCATGAATTAGCATTCCCCTTTCAGAAGTCATTAAGAGTTTGTTCCAGAACACCTAAATTTTATGAAATAATCTGGATTCTTATGAAAACCATTTGCATGTGTACACAAATATATACATATATATACACACACACTATGCACACACATAAATCACGTAATTAAAATTCAGTCTCCCGAGATTCTTTCTTCTTGATGTTATAGAGCATTATGTGCAGAAGGCCTAACTGGTGTGTATCAAAACACACAGCAAGAGAATCACCACTAACTCTGCTAAGCCTACTGTGCACCTAATACCCCTGAGGCATTGATGAGATGCTAAGAATCAAAGCCATAGCTCTCTGTAATAAAATATATGTAAAATTGGAGACTAGACCAAGTAGACAGATGATTTCTGGATATTTTATTAAATACATGTAGTTTGCGGTGACGTCATTAATTGCCAAGGCTGATTTATGATTTATAACTTGACCATGGCTAGCTGTACAGAGGGTACAAATATTGCTCTTTCATCCTCTCATCCTATGTTGGGAAAGCAGCAGACATTAGTATTTGGAGTTATGAATTTTGTCATGTGCAATAGATTAAGATAGAAGATTGTTAAATATGCATTATTTAACCAAGGATCTTAACAAAATTTTAAATTCTGTTCTCTATTTTCTAGAATTATACTTTCAATTTTAGTTTATTTAGGGTCCTATTTAAGTAATCTACCTTTAAAGAACAAAGTACCATATTTTGAAAAAGTAGTCAGAAGCTTTATGGAAATAGCTGTAGAAAGTGACACCATAGGCTTTGTTTAATCTGTTTGAACACTTAAAACATAATTCTTTTAAAAATCCAGATAGCAAATTAAAACTAAAGATATTTTGCTACAAGAGTTCAAGTAAACGGCCATAATTAATGAACATATGATAGTACCACCAAACAGACAACTGCATAATGACAATTCAGGACTCAAGTCTTCTAATTCTCTGGCCACACACAGCATGGTGTACAACTCAGGTGTTCAGCAAATGTTGAATCTAGAAGTAGGTCAGAGAAAGAAAATAGCTAAGAAGAGGTAGCAGGATACAGGATAAATAATCAATTATTCGGTGCCTGGTTCCAGAATTCGTCTTCAGCCTCCAGCAGCCCAGTTTAAGCAGCTTCTACAATCATCTGTTATGTGAACTTTAAAGGAGTCAGTTGAACTACTCAAGATGGGCTCAGCCCCACTGAGATGTTATGAGATTAAGCCATCTGCAACCAGTGTAAGACAAACATTTCCCGTTTACTGAGTATCCTTGGCAGTGAAGTGTAGTAATTTGCTCCCTTTCAGATAACTTCTCATGTGAATCCTAAGTCCCAAGCAGGCATTTAGAATCAACAGTAATGTCTCTTACGGGGACCTTTTGTGGTTTTCTGGCTGCAGGTTCTCTGGATGGGTCACTAAAGGCTTGTTTGATTTCTAAATCAAGTGAAAGTATTTCTCCTATGAATAAATCGCCTCAGAGGCCTGATTCCTGGAGACTGTTTCACAAGCCTTTCTGTCATAGAGAGAGAAGTCTCCATTGGAGGAGCCTCATGAATAGGTGTTCCAAGTGACCATTTGGCCAATATCACAGGAAGACATTCCAGGTGCATTATACTCCAGGTATTTCATAAACTCCAGGTATTTCATAATCCATTTCCAGGTGCATTATACTCCAGGTATTTCATAATCCATCAAGGTTGGGAATCTCCAGGGATATTCTAGATCAAAGGCATTGCATAACTTTGCTGATTAGCAGTCATATTACATGATCAAACTCCTAGTTATGTACAATTTATTGAAGTAAGTCTTTGAGATGCACACATCTGTCAATCTTATATTTTCGTATCCTCGCTGAGCACATTATATTTTACTTTACTGTTAAATTTAGTGGCAAAATCAGTATCAACAAATGTAAGTTTCTGCCATGATGGCAATATCTATGCAGAAACGCAGCACCAGTACTGTATGTTACACATACGCAGTGCATACAAGATGCACTTGGCAGAAACGGAACATTTCTGAGAAGCTGGGGAATTTCCCTGTTGCGTGTTTCATCTTGAAAATGGCCTTTTGTGCTCTCTGGCTGACACTCATGGGACCGCTGTGTCTCTGGGCCAGCAGCAGATTCCCTGCAAGGTTGACTATGCCTCTTTTCCAGAAGCACAGAAAGTGACCTAAAGTTAAGAGACACCCAGTCAGAGCACAGTGTGAGGGGAACATGTGTGGCAGATGGAAACCTAACAGGAGGAAGTCAGGGGTGCGGTGGAGCCACAGGACAGAGCTCAAGTTGACATCAGCCTTACAAGCAGATAGAGCATCTAAGACAGGTTACACTAAGAAGATGTCATTTTTCAACCATGAAGCATTTCCCAGCTATATTATAAATTGAAATGAAAAGCTTACTGAGAGGTTTGTTTTTGATAAAACAAATTTGTACAAACCTCCAGATTATTACCCTAGGACCCCACAGATTATGGAAGGACCATTATTTATAACTTGGGAAATAAGCATTTATTTTAATTCCAAGGATCCTCCAACATTATACCTACACATAAACCAAAGTAGTGCTGATGATGTACATTTCCAATGGGTGTATTTATGGTCATTTTTGTGTTTGATCTTCACTTGACTGTACGAGACAGGTAAGGTAGAAACTTTTATTCCCATGGTACTAATTAGAAACTGAGGCTCATTAAGATTAAATTATTTTCTGTAAGTGGTAAATATGTAATCAAACGTGATGGTTTTTTTTATTATAGAATAATTTCTTTTTATCACATTCCACTTATATCAACAACAGGGGAGGATATCCGAGTAATCCATTTAAGATTACATTAAGTTCATATTACAACATTATATTTATTGTACAGTTGACCTACCATAGGCTGGTCTTTTGCATGAAGAATTTTATTTCCAAAATACATTGTAACAGTCTAAGTCCACGTATCTTTTCTAAAATCAATTTTTATTTTTATTTTTTAATTTTTTAAAAATTAAAATAAAATATTTGGCCACAGGCAAGTCTTAATACATTTTAAAAGACTAAGATCATAGGAGATATGTTCTCTGATCGTAATAACAGAAGGAAATTTAGAATATTCACAAATGTGTGGAAGTTAAACAACACTCTCCTAAATGAACAATAAGTAAAAAGAAACATCACAAGGAAATTAGAGAGGACTTGAGATAAAGGTCAAAGTACAACATATCAAAATGTATAGGATGCAGGGCTCATGCAGTGCTTAGAGGAACATTTCTGCTTGTAAACACCTATATTAAAAATGAGAAAAATCTCAAATCAGTCATGTAAACTTCTACCTTAAGAAAGTAGAAAAAGAAGAGCAAACTAAACCAAAACAAATGTAAGTAGGAAATAACAAAGATTACAGCAGAAATATATGAAATAGGGAGGGGGTTAAAAAACAACAGAGAGCATCAACAAAACCAGAAGTTGATTCTTTAGAAGGATCAACAAAATGTGTAAACCTTTATCTAGACTGACCAGGAACAAAAGAGAGAAGACAGAAATTACTAAAATCAGAAATACAGCAGGGGCGTTATTGCATCATCATTATGGACTTCGTGGTGGTAAGATTTAGTTTCTTTCTCTTTCTTGTTTGCATTTTTGTTCTACCAGTGGGTTTTGATCTTTTTTGTGTATTTGTGGTAGTGATTATCATTTTTAAGATTTCAGATGCAGGACTGCCTTGAGGATTTCTTGCACGGCTGATCATGTGGTGGAGAACTCCTGAAGCTTTTGATTGTCTGGAAAATATACTAATTTTCCCTCATTTCTGAAGAATAGCCTTTTTGGGTACAGCATTCTTGCTGCCAGTTTTTCTTCTTTTTTTTTTTTTTTGTATTTTGAATATTTCATCCCATTTTCTTCTGGCCTGTGGAGTTTCTGCTGAGAAGTCTGCTGTTAGTCTGATAGGGGCCCCCTTATCAGT